TATATATAATATTGAGAGTGAATACATTTTTAACTGCACATTATTTTCTTTTCTTCAGTTTATCTACGTAAAGCCTTGTGGAAGTGTATATGTCAATTCACTTTACACCCAGCTGCCCGTCTCATCAGGTATTTGGAGTCTATGTTTACAATGTCAGGCATTCAAAAATTGCCTTCTGAAGTTCTAAAATAATTAGAGTAGACATTTAATCCACAATCCATGTTTGATGTTGTCCATGACCCCCAGCAGAAAGCGTTTACTCCAACTGACTATGACACAAACTTCCTAATTCCCCTCTCTCAATTAAATTCTTCATAAATTCCTTTGAAGAATCCAGTAAGGGCTGTTAATGGTGACATTATTTCCAAGTCTCTTGATAAAGTCTTCTTGAATGACTGATTCATCTCGAAGTTAACTTAACTTAGAAAATATTGGGCACAGTATTGCTAGGTCAAAAATGGATCCTGTAGTAATGCATTAAAGTAGATGGTGGTGTGGAAGGATACCATTACATGATTAATAGTTTTCTTTACTCAGCCTCATGCCTCTGTTGCATTCAGTTGTGTTGTGGCTTGAAACATGTGGAATTCTTTGCAGCTTTTCTATGTCATAATTGACTAATTTGTACCATTTACAGCCTGCTTTGGCTTAGTTAGCTATCTATAGAGTCAGACCAGCAAAAAGCAAAGAAAAAAAAGTTTATCATCTTCGCCATATAAGCAGTTATTGATTGCCAGACACCTGTTTAAACCTCACACAATGTTCTTTCATGGAGTTATTGACAGCAAGTCAACTGTTGCTCTTTGATGAAGTTTAACATTCATCCAATCATTGTATTAAATTCCTTTTACCATCAACATACTTATTAAAATAAAGTGGGTATGTGTACTGGCCATTTAAATCATTGTGAAAAGTATATAATTTATGGAAAACATGTATTTGGTAAAAAAGGGTGACTGGTAAAGCTTGTTGTGTCTGAAGCCGGGAAGTTACCATAATGACTTTCATTCTGGGTCCACAGCTAGTGTCACCATCTTCAAGCCTTCATCCTTCTTCATCATTATACAGACCACTTTTGGTCTACAGCTGGAAATCCAACTGATCCCCACCATGCAGATATACATCAACCTGGATCCATCTTTTAAAAATGAAGTCTGTGGTATGGATATTTTTTTTCTACGTTATATAAATGTTGTATTACCAAATATAAAAAAGCAAACACTCAGGTAGAAAATTAGGTAATACATATGTCATTCCCAAGTATTTTTAACTAAATATTCATATATAGTGATTAACAATGCAAACTAACGAGTGCATGTAGTTATGCATGTCTCAAAGGTTCAAAGCTTGCTGGTAACCATCTCCATGCCTCCTCATTGCACATAGCGTGTGTTTTAGGCACATGCCTATAAAGTGCTCTAGTTTCTAGCATTCTAATTGGCCATTCCAACTTTATATTAATAATCTTATCTTCCGTATTTATTCTCAAACAATACTATTAATAGGAATCAAACAGTTCAAGCAGATAATATGCATATGCATAAAATCTGAATTATGATGCTCTTTTTTAAGTACATAAGAGATTGGAAGATCCATTGCACATGGTACTAAAGCAAGATTAGTGCCAGTATTTAAAATCAATTATTATGTGCTTTACCTGCATTTCAAAAGTAAGCATATAAGGTTTATTTTATTGACTGATATAGTTTTAAAGGTCTATATTGCAACATAGAGCAACATGGACTTTAAGAATGATCCTTTACTATTCACAATACAATTTTGTGCTACCAGTGTTTTATAAGAAGCAGACTGCCATATATAGATTGAGGCACCATATATTGATGACACCACAAAATTAAATGTATTCAATCTTTGTTCATAGGCCTTTGCGGAAACTTTAACAACATACAAGCTGATGACTTCAGAGTTCTGAGTGGAGTGATTGAAGGAACTGGGTCCTCATTTGCCAACACTTGGATGACACAAGCAGACTGCCCAACTGTTTCAAACAGCTTTGAAAACCCTTGTTCCTTGAGCATCGAGAACGGTAAATAATTAACAAGACATATACTGTGCATGATAAGTATGAGTGCTAAAGTATTGTATAAATATTATGGTCAAAGACAGTATAGATTTCAAATTATTACAATTGTTACCATTCTCTCTAATTCTGTTCTATGCTGCTAAGCATTAATGTGAGATATACCCTACAATTAATTGATGTAAGAGTATATAATTAAACAGTCAATTTTCTTTCATGAAAGGGTAGAAATGTGTATAAATATAGCAAAAGGAAACACGGAACCAATCATTTCCATTGTTTAGAACATCTTGCTCTAGAAACCTCAATTTCACTTTATTAAAATTACTCATGGCTTTTGCCTAAAATGCATACTTGCTACACATTTATATAATGCACTTACAAAAATCGCATTCATGTTCTTTTTGGGCTGTTTTTCGTGAATGCCCACACCATAAAGATCTGTAATTCAAAGAAAAAGTTCAGTTTTACTATCTATCTTCCTATTGTCTTTCCCTAGAACTGTATGCAACACACTGGTGCTCTATGTTAACTGACTCAGAAGGAGTCTTTGCAGAATGCCACGTAAAAGTAGATCCAGATGTGTACATGAAGGTAATCATACATTCTGTTTTCTTGTATACACATCACATTTGTTTACCACATTGCACCTTATATGTGGCATAAGAAAAAAATGTTGGGTCTATTCTGAATTTACAGTTGTCTTTGATAATAGTAGTAAATCGTCACCAGTGGTAGTCATGGGTTCATGCAGAGTCAGTGGGGTGCATGGTCTTTATGTTGGTCCATCAACAAGAAAGGCTAGAATTGAACATTTCAGAGTGTGACACTTGGGTTTGCCCCACTGCTAACAGTTAATAAATGAAAAGAGATGGTGGGAATAACAAGGAACCCAAGTTCTAAGGCAACAGACAAGTTAAAGCCAGGATGAGAGGCACCCGGCAGTCAGATGTAGTTGAAAGGTCAAATCTCTGACAGTCATAGTAAGGCACCGGGCAATCAAAATCAAGTGAGGCTGAGATGAACGATCAGAATAAACAGACAGGACACCAAAGCTCACAGGAACTAATAAGAACCTTTTGCTAAGACACCAATGCTGAGACACACACTGAGACACATTAAAACATTTTGCCTAAATAACTGCTCAGTGGCATTCTAATGGCATCCCCTATACACAGTTCTGAATTTTAGCCAGAGGAGGGCACAGACACATGCCTAGGAATCATGGGACAAGCCTACAGAGATGATGCTAGAGACAGAACCATTGGAAAGAGTGATTCTGATTACAGCTTGATATTCTTTTTATAGAACAGTGACATTAGACACAAAGATAAAGGAGAATGGTTTTAAAACTGCACCACAATAATATGTTTTACTGGGAGCAGTACACATATTATTGAAACACATGAAGAGGCAAACATATTTTTATTAGCAGCATAAATGATAACCCATTTCCTGTTATCTCTGCAGAACTGCCTGTTTGATTCCTGTAACTGTGCAAAGAGTGAGGAGTGCATGTGTGCCGTATTGTCCTCCTATGTATATGCCTGTGCTATGAAAGGAATCATTCTTAACGGATGGAGACAAAATGTCTGCAGTAAGTATATCCAAGGTTTTTTGCAGCTCAAGTCAAGTAGGATTGCTTTTCAGGCAAGTATCACAGAAATATTTGCTGCCCTTGCTCAGTGCAATTGTGTTTATTTTTTTCAAAACCTACTGTTTTTTGTGGTGGAGGCAATCATCAGTATTCACTAACAACTTGCTCAGTGTTGGATGAACCAATATCAGGCAACCCAGGCAGCAACCTAGGAACTGGTGAATGTTCTGGGGGCCTAGATACACCCATCATGCTCCCTTAGGAATCCAGGGGGATAACACAGCTAGTCAAAGCTGGACTCCATTTACAAGATAGGATGCACTTGTAGTTGCTGATGTTTGGTAGGCTCATGTCAGTGTAGGCAAATGGGGAAGTTTCTCTGTGTGCTTATTGCAATCAATCAATGCCAGTCACAAGGATGGGGAAACTAAAGCTGATACCTTGCCTAGAACCCCATTCTGCCTTCATCTTTCTCTGCACCAAATAATTAGATAATTAATCATTATGGCAGGCACTAGTAATGAGAAGCTTAATAGTTTGAGTTGTTTGCACCAGATATAGCTTAGTTGCTCATGAGCAAATTTGTGGAGTTTTGTAAGTCAGCGCCAATATTTACGAAGTCATTTTGCCTGCACAAATTCAATGGATGAGCAACCCCCCTCCACCATCTTTCTTTTATTTTATCGACTCATTTCCAACTTTTTCAAGAGGCATTTACAGGTCCACAAGACCTGTAGAGTGTAGGAAAGTCAATATTGAAGAGCTTTCCAGCTTTCGTCTCTACAAAAAATGTATAAACTCCATAAAACTTTTTTTTTTAAATAAACTCTATGATCCATAGCAGTTTTTTTATATCTGCACAATGGATTTTAGCTGTCATTCAAACAAATCAGCAGTGGATTAAGTTTTAAACTGATACATTACTAGTAGACACCTTAACATAGGGGTCTATTCACGAAGCTGCCGAGGGCAGCCGAGTGAATGACCGTTCTGAAGTGAAGTGAGCCGAACACTGTTCGGCTATTCACTTCAGGCTGGTATGGCTAATTTCAGCCGTACATCGGCTGAAATCAGCCGTACATCGGCTTGCTTCGTGTGGCTTTGGGTCAGCCAAACATGCTCAGCATGTTCGGCCGACCCAAAGTGCAGAAGGAGTTCGATTTAGCCGATCCAACATCTGGATCGGCTGAGCCGAACCTCCGGCAGGCTACTCACTGCTGTTCGGGCTATTCTTAAAGATCCCGAACAGCAGTGAGTGAATAGCCAAATGCCGCCGAGCAGAACAGAAAAACAGTGAAAAAAGTTAAAAAGTAAATAGCAACCGATTGTGCGGAGCTAGCAGTGACAGCTAGCTCCGCCCAATAGTTTCCTATTGTCCGGCAGCTCTGCTGCTGTAAAAAAAAACGAAAAAAAACTCTCCTGGGCGCTCTGGGAGCCTCCCGCTCCCGGCCGCCAAGGAGAGAAGCACTGATGTGTCTTTTTTTTTCTTTATTCTAACACGATCGATGTCAGAATAGAAAAAAAAAAAAGAAATGTTCCCATTGAAAAGCATTGGGACATTACTATTGGCTATTTCAATTTGCAATA